GCAGGGAAGCCCGTGAACTTTGACGACTATGGGGACATTCATGTCCCTGCTGTGATCCTGAAGACCTTCCTGCGAGAGCTGCCCCAACCGCTGCTGACCTTCGAGGCCTACGAACAGATCCTTGGCATCACCGGTACGTGCCTGCCCGGGGTCGGGGGTGCTCAGTGGCTGTCCTCCAGCCACTGGAAGGGGCAGGTGGCTGAGGTGGTGTCTACCCAGCATCATCCTGCTGCCACCTGGCACTGCAGAGCAAGAACGGAGGCCTTTAGGGCTGCTCCCACCATGCACAGCCAGGCCACACTGTCCGAGGCCAGGGAGGTGGGGACAGGGTGGTGTCCTGGCTGGGCTCTTGGGTGCCGCTGGGTGGGAAGGCGGGGTGGTGGAGGGCGGCTCTGGATTTGGGGCACACTGTTGCAGAGTCCTGCCTGGACCCCCTGCCCCATGCTGCTCTGGAGGAGCCCCCAGCCCCTGAGTGCTCTAATCCAGACAGGGGCCCTGGCATTTCTCCCAGATGATTGTAGAACACCAAGTACGTACGCCGGGAACAGAGCAGATACAGGGTGTGACGGCGCAGACACCTGCCATCCATCAAACGCCCAGTGTGGCTGGGGCACGGATGACTCGTGATGACACTGGCCTCTCAAAAGAGCCGGGGAATTCTTTTTTAAATTTTTTACGGGGTTACAAATGTTCTTGGCTGCAGGTATCAACGTTGTTACGCGCGAGTCAGGTGAGCCGGGGAGTTCTAAGGCAGGCGATGCCTCGTAGTCCGCTCGGGTCTTTGTAACCAAACACTGGCACTTTCTAACGGGGCTTTTTCGCGGAGCGCTGTGAGCCAGAGGGGACCCCGCAGTAGCAGCTGGGTGGGACACCTTAAGGACAGTCTTGAGATGTTTCTTCCTACCTTCACCCAAAGGTCTTTGTCCTGCGCCCTGGAAGGTGACCTCTGAACTTTGGAACTTCTCAAGGGCAGGGATATCTTTGTTATTCACAGGGTCCCTGATGGTTTTTGGTAACAATGATTGTGGTAACTCGGAATGGAGCCTTTCCGGAAGGACTATTTACACGGTTAGAGGATCGGGGCTTTGAATCACGTGAGACCTCTGGGGAGGGCTGGAGGTTGGTTTCCATCCCATGGCCACCCTCCAGGACGCGGGACCCCACGCTCCCCACCCAGGGAGGGCTACACCATTTACTCAGCAGTCGCTCCACGCACCTGCTGAGGGCCAGGCCCTGTCTGGGATGGGGCAAGTGACCCTCCTACAGCCCAGACGGTCAGGACACTGAGGCAGAGACAAATCCAAGTGTGTGCAGAGGCAGCTGTCTGGTGGAGACAGACGAGGCCGTCCGCTCCCCGTCCACCCAGCAGCCTGGCCAGCGTGGATGGGCAGGCAAGATGGACAGTGCCCCAGGCTCTGTCCTAGAGAGAAGCTCCAGACGTCCTTAGCCCCTGCCGAGGGATGACGACTCCAGCCTCTGTCGAACGTGCTGTTCGTTCCAGCCAAAACCTTGTGACAAGCAGATAGGCCAGGACCCCTTTAGGGTAATTCCTTTAAGAAGCTCGCAACTGTAAATCCTTTCTCTGCCCTTTGAGATGAAAGTCGCTCGTCACCCAGCACTGTCTCCCCAAGGGCCCGAGAGCCATCCCCCTGGGACGGAAGGACCCACGTCTCACTCGTGCTGCCGCCTCCCATCCTGGAGATGCCAGAAGTTCGTTTCTCCTCTGGACAAGCCCAGATAGTGGAGTCACACCGAGTAACTCCTGGAGGGGAGGAAAAATCTTTTCCTTCTGCCCGTCTTAGGTTCCTCGGCTGGGAGGCTGTAAATCGGACAGACAAGAGGCAGATTAGCAAGAGAAAAACGTGCCCAGTTTATTTAGTAGAAGTTTTACGTGACGCCTCCAGAAGGACCTGAAACCACAGTTAAGCCTGAGCGTTCTCATACTAGGTTTTCTGAAGGTTTGAACAAACTATCAACTGAAGTTTATCAACTGAAGTTTTGGGTCTGGAGAACATTCCGTTGAGAATATTTCTGGGTGTTGGCTTTAAGTGTCCTTACATGGAGTGAGAGTGGCAGCCAACGAATTTCCCAGTTTGTGAGCTGCGTGTCTGTGGTGAGGGCATCGGGTGGGCCTGTGAGCTTTCCGGGTGGCCAGGGGCACAGGGCTGTCCATACGTGATCCGTCGTGATGATGTCTGCGATGTTTCTATCAAGTCATCCAGCTTGCGGGGCTTTGGGGAAATGAGTTTTAGTTCTTAGTGATGCTAAGTCGAGTGGGAGAGAAAACCAGAATGTTAGTTTGGCGTGTCGTAGCCGACGCTGAAGGAAACTAGAACTGAGAATCCACAAGTGTGCGCTACAGTTTTCCACTGAAGCATCATCTCTCTCTCCGGTTTTGATTCCCAGTCACAAAATATTTGGCCTGGTTATGTACACAAGTGCAGCAAGAGTGGTAATTGACCATACCGGCCTTTTTTAAGTCTGCTTTGCTGGGACTTCTAATAAACAATCTTACATTCACTTTTCTAAAGCCTCTTGAGGCCAGGAAGCCAAACCCAGAACGTGCTGTCACACTTTGCCCATAGCACCCTCTCTGCTCAAGGTTCTCTATACATTTAAAGTTTCCTGGACCTACCAGGAAGTGACTGTCCTCACTCACCTGTGATGCTAGGAACCCTGTACGCCAGGTACCAGGCCGGTTCCTCCAGCGGCTTTGCAAGCAGCACTGGCTCCTTAAACTCAACCTTAGTTTCTTAGACCTGTCTGGTCATACTCTGCATATTCTTATATAGAACATTCTAGTCATAGCCTTATTAATATAACCAATATTTTCAATTGTGCCCTATTACAAAGAGAACAGATTCTTATTAAACTTATGCAAATAACTATATTGCCATGAAAATAAAAATATTCAATAAGAGTTTCCAGATTATTGAGGGACCAGGTAGGGAGAAAAATAAAGGTTTCTAAATGTAAGCTATGGATAGACAGCTTAAGAAAAAAGAAGTTCCTTAAATCTGGAGAAGCAGTAATTTTTTGTTTGTTTGTTTTGAGATAGAGTCTTGCTCTGTTGCCCGGGCTAGAGTGCCGTGGCATCAGCCGAGCTCACAGCAACCTCAAACTCCTGAGTGCAGGCTGGTCTCAAACTCCTGACCTCAAGCAATCCTCCTACCTTGGCCTCCCAGAGTGCTAGGATTACAGGTGTGAGCCACCATGCCCAGTCCCAATTTCACGTAATTAATTCTTATTCTGCTTGACCTTGGGCCCCCAGTTTTAGGAATCCATTCATTTATTCCATTAGCTTTGGACATTCTTAGTCCAATGGTATGATCTTAGCATTATCAAAAACCTGTACTCTGGAATACTTATCAGAGTCTTTTCCGTGCATCTCTTTGAAAATGCAGCAGTTTGGGCCTGCATCTGATTGTACACACTCTTATGGAGGAATCGAAGTGAAACAGTTACTGAATGATAAAAGACCAAGAAATGGCCACGGTTAAAGATCTGATGGAAGAGTTCACTATCTGATGAGAGTTTTGTTGCGT